TCAATGAATGCCTCAATCACTGCAACAACAACAACAAATGCTACCACTACTAGTGTTACATCAATAAACGCATCAATCTCTGCAACAACGACTACTACAACAGCTATAATAACTACAACAACGGCAACAACAGCATGTAACTCATTATTACTTCAAATTTTACCACTTCTATGTCTTGTATTTCACAGCAATAAGCTGCACATCAGCTGGGCGAGGAAGTTTACTGTCTCTGAGTGGATCGAATCCAAGTTCTCCGACTATATATCGATTTAGTTTCACGGCAACGACCACGTTGCCTACAATTATGTTTGGATTTCAAAATGAGAACAATCGTCGCTATTACCTGGATTCAGTATCTGTTGTTGCTCAAAGCACACCTAGTGTTCAATTGCTGAATAATCCAAACTTTGAAAATTCAATAACAACACCAATAGGTTGGGTACAATGGTGTACAAGCACATGTGGCGGCGTATGGGGAAAAATAATATCCAGTGTTGACTGTTACTTATCTACGGGTAATTGCTTTCAGGATGGCTGCATCGCTTCTAGTGGTATCGATTTTCTCTCTCAATCATCTACGGCATCCATTGGCAACAAATATACACTTTCGTTCTGGCTTGATTTGGGTGGCTCGGGAACATCTATGTTGAACAGATTTTACGTCGATATTATCTAAATTTTATGGATTTGGTGTGAATAAGTATAACAGAAGAGAACAGCTATATACACTCCACCTACGCACGTATCTGATCCTGTTCATTTAAAACTTTTGATCGTTCAAGATAATTTGAAATTTTTGCTTTGAGATATTAGTTGACTTTTTAGATATTGAATAGCGTTCATCGATCGACTCAAATTTCGAATCATCTAAATGATATCTGATGTTACTTCTCAACAAAGTTCCTCGTGTATCTGATAGAGTTTATTTGATTAATATTTCAAATTGATGAATATTTCTGTTACCCAGTTGTACTACACAATTACTGAGACGATAGACATAGAATCTTGTGATGCATTGTCTAAGAAAACATGTTGAGTTTTCTTCCTTACAGTTCAAGAGCAATCTTCTTTTGTTCGAGATAGAATAATCTTTTTTTTTCCAAATTGATTTGTTCGACAGTTGATTTTGCACACGTTTCATGAAACATTTGAAGCAAATCATGATTTTTATTGTCATAGAAAAGGATTCTTGTTCTCTATGAAAGATATCAAAGATTGAAGACAATCGACTGCATCTATGTCTATATAAGAAGCATTGATCTGTTACCATTCATTCACATTATTCTAAGTATTCGATTCGATATTCATTCTTCGTCCTTAACAGAAAGAAATAAAAATAATTCGCAGTATATATACTGATAGAATATAGAATGATTTTGCTAGGCTATTGAAAATCATAAATCATTTATTTTAATTTTTCCTTGTCTTCTAAAATATATTTAAAATAAAAGCTCACAATTAGGCAACTAGCAAGAGGATAAAATTGATATGAGGGTGTCAGGTTGATGAATTGTTGTAGATACGACTCTCGTTTGCGCCAATACCCTCCCTAACTCAATCTATCCTCGAAGATATCCACTTCATTTCTATATAATTCTCATAAAAAAACTAGAATTCCTTACCCAACTCAATCCAACACCAGACTACAAGTTGTATTCGTTTTATTGAATGTGTAAAAATTAATTTCAGCTATAACATAAAAAAAACATTCAATCAGAATCCTTGCAGAACTATTCTTTAGTTTGTATCATTGATTGAATAATGAAGTGCAGAAATTTGAAACTTCAGAAAATAGGAATTTACCATATATTTGGTTCACTACCCAATCCTAATGACTTCGTCATTAATATTATCACAGCCCTTTCGATATTGCAACAGTGAAATTTATAGTAACTTTCCTGATGAATTCGTTTCATTAGTTTTCGTATTATTGAATAATACAAGTTTTCTCATTCTTGACTTGATATGACGGCAATTCTGTTTTCTATTGATTCGAGTATGTTTCAAAGTATGAATGTTGGTCTGTCGATGTGTCAGTTCTCTGTTTACCTGCAACACATCCGAGTTTTTGTTTGATATCCGTCACACACGACTATGATTTCAGTAATTAGTGCGTCATGAAATACTGAACTTATATCGTAGTGTGCTATGTCTCTAAAATTTTCAGAACAAACTCATCGTCTCATGAAAATTATCCACTAAAATTTTCGAATGAATTGATTCAAGTTATTATGAAAAAGACCTATGACACTAAAAACCACTATTTGCTCTGTAAGAGACATCTTTAATTAGAAGACAATATGTCAGCTATTGTAAAGTGATTTCTAACAAAATGTGGATTAGAAATACTTATGGCATTGGGTATTGGAATGAGGAATTGAACGAATGTTTGCCTTAGCTTGGTTGATCACAAAAAGAACGATCATGTTTGAATCATAAGTCTAGTATATGTGAATCAATGGAGAGTGTGTTGATACTTGAGATCAGGGCTCTTTTTTTGTACACATGAATTCAAAATTATAAACGATAACTGCACTTCATGGAGGGCAGCTACATTCGTCCAAGACTGTAGTAAGTTGCAAAATTTTTTTGTATAAACAATCACTAATATGAAATATTTAGTGAGAATATCATTTAATAGTTTGTAACACAACTTTTGTAAGTTGTATAGAAGAAAAAAGTATGTTTAATAAATCTAATCTTATCTATAGAAAAAGATCAATTCATGTGAAATAATCATGTAAATGATTCTATTTCTAAATTTATATAGAAATAGAATCTTAACACATCATATGAAACACGAGTAATTACAAACCAAATACCTTTGATCTACTTTTCTAATAATAAACATAGACAATACTAAATTCTTTCAAACTTTTTCAATTTTTATTGAGTCTCTATTTTAGTGAATGTTTAATATTTCGAATGAATTTTTTTGTTCCACTTCTATACAGGACATTTCAAAAGTTCGCTCTAAAATGAATGTGAATATCTATTAATCAGTTGAAGGAATTTATGTAAATTGTTTTTATATAATAGTATGTTCGTTGAAGTTTTACTCTATACATTTTTCGATCACCGTCTGTGACCACAGATATTAAAATCCAAATAGTTTTATTAATAGTCTAATTTGAGTCACGTATAGTTTTGAAACGGAGGATTCGAGACGAATTCGATATACTAAAGTGAGACGTAGATAATATTAGAAATCCTTCTCAACGCTCTTATCAAATTATTAAAGTATCAGATCGACAACGCTTTGAACTACCTTAAAAATTGCACAGGGAAAGCATCGACGACGTTCATTATGTTTCTGGAAAAAAACCAGCATTGAGTACTTCGGACTGATGCAACAGCCGTCTTCACTTTCAAAACAATAGTACACCGAATTATGGCTGAATATCTTCCAATGCAGATATGAAAAGTATCAGTTGTGCAAAAATTTCCTATAGAAGATTTATTTGAGGCCCTTGTTAGAGACAATGAATAATTATGGAAATTCTCTTTTTCTTCGTATGAGACTGTTCGTATGTCGATGGTGTATCTATAAATATAAAATGAAAACTAATGTGTATACGACACAGATCAAAATCTGTTTGAATTCAAAAATGAGAACATATAATGTAAATTGATTCAAAAAAAACTTTGTTTTGTGTTTCTTAAATATTTCGGAATGAAACGAGTTTCATATTTCAGGTGAAAATAATCATTTAAAGCATCCTTTTTTCTGTCAAATTATATGAGATAATACTTGAAAGAACACACAGTCATTCTAGAAAACAAACGCATGTAAATTGCTTGAATATTTTAGATATGTTTGATACTAAACATCGTTTTTTTTTCAAAAATCAAGTTAATGTAATATATGTTCTTACAGAGAAAGTCTTAGTAATGAAACTATTTTCAACCTTAATTTATCTACAAAGAAAAGTTGCTGATAAAAATCGCGATTTTCTTCGAAGAATTTTTCGGTAGGCATACGACTTTTCCAGGAGTAACTGCTTTCTTTTCTGTGTATTTCTGTCGCTTTCTTCTTTAACAATATCAACTAAATATTTCAGTACTAAACAAAACATAGTTTCAATCTTTGATAGTTGTATAATAATTTTAAAAGACAAAGACATTTTTTTTTCGATATCTGCCGTACAGTAATTGTTTTCAAGAACTATTCACTGTTATACTGAAACAAATGCATACAGACAATATTGATCTTGTTATTCTCATATTTCTTCTCGCTTAGTTCAATGTTCCTGTGCACTAAGCTTCTCTACTTATTGAATTTGGTTCATACTTTTTCCAATGTAGTTCAAAATGAACATGTCGTTTTTGCTTATAGATAACAATAAACATCATAAAATATTATTTCATAAACAAATAAATATTTCAAGGATTTTAAAATTAAAAAAAAAATAAAGTAAATAAAATCGAATTATTATAAAAAATGTCATTATTCAAAATACATCCATTAATTCGAATAAAATAATACGGACAGTCAGTAGACTGTAGAAAGGTCTAAAAATGCTTTAGATTATGTCTTTAGGATTGTGAGTGTGATAGCTCGACGTGCTTTGTTAAATCCACTGTCTTTAAAACCAATAAAAGGAATTCGGTAATCAATATTAAACACACCAGAAAAAATATTTGTATTCTCATTTCATGTTCATTTGGTACCATAGCTAGTGCTACAATCAAGGTTGTCGCTATGGCTATGGAGTGTGGGCCTTGTATGTTTATTCACAGCTACAAGCATGCAGAAAAAACTAAGACATATGCTTAGAATCATTGTTTATTAGAAACATGAGTTTGTTTTCGATATTTTTCTCTGTCCATTTTTTCCTTTACACCAGCTTCTCTTTTCGTCATTTTACTGTACATTAATCTGACGATCATTTATTTCAGAGCAATTTTAATTTAATATCAAAGTTAACAGAGCACTTCTTTTTTATATGAATCTAAAAATACATTGATATATAAAAGAAGCCGTTCATTTCATTGAACAGTTATAAGTTCATACTTATGTGTCGCCTGCTAATTTTTGCTAAAAGACCATATTTTGCTCGCATCGTAAGTGTAAAATCCGGTACAATTTTTTGTCCTGGTATTATTTCAAAATTACATCGTTGAATAAACATAACTAAGATAATTTTCGCTTCTAATAAAGCAAAATTTTGTCCAATACAGTTTCGTGGACCAATAGCAAATGGTAAATAAGCAAATGGATGAGGTAGTTTTGGTTTCAAACCTGTTTTAGGATCACGCATCCAACGTGTATAGTCAAACTGATCAGATCGAGACCATAAATCATTTCGACGATGAAGAATATAGTTATTTACAATTATTGTTCCACCCACAGGTATACAAATTTTATGTTCACTACCGATTGTATGTTCACGTATGCAATAACGGGTAAAGATCGGAGCTGGTGGATAAAGACGAAGTGTTTCATTTATTATAGCTTCACATATGACTAAATCTGAAATATTTTCATTCGTAGGTTCTATACCATTAGGTAAAACTCTGTCGACTTCTTCTCGACAAGCTTCAAAAACATCATCATGAGTCATTAAAACATAAAATATCCATGTCATCAGATTAGCTGTCGTTTCACTACCAGCTAAGACAAAGGTAAGAGCTTGTTCTTTGATTTGTTGATCAGTAAATGGTTTGCCTTCATTATCAACAGCTGAAAGAAGTAAATCGAGTAGATCAGGACCATTAGATAGACTACTTGAATGTCCTTGTCGTCGATCAGTAATTATTTTATCAACTAATTCACCTATCATTCGACCTCCATTATCAACAATACTTTTCTTCCAGAAAGGAAGTTTTGATATAAAAGGTATTTGATTAATCATTTGTAATGAACGATACAAAATAGCTTCAAGTACTGCACCAAATGTTTGACGAATAATCTCTTGAGCATTTGTAATTGTTTCAAAACCGGAGCCAAATGCACTTGATGCTATTATAGATAATGTAAGTGCACTAAAGTGATTTTGTAGATCAATTGATATTTGTTCTTGCTGATCAAGAGTTGATGTTTGAAAAAGTCTTTGCATTGATTTAGCAGTTTGATCAGTCATAATTAAAATCATTGATTTAAGATTTGTATGATAAAAAGCAGGATTAATCATATGTCTTGCTCGGTCATGTTCATAACCTTCAGCTACTAATAAATTTTGTTTACCAATAATTGGTATAAACACCGTACTAAACATAGGTGGTTTAATATAATTTTGTACATTGTTTCGACTAAACATATCGGCAAGTAAATCAGGTTCAGCAACAACGAGACGTGTTAATGGACCAAAATTAAATAAGAACATATTTCCATGTTTTTGTGCTAAACTTTCAAGATAAGCTATAAGTCCGCCAGCTTGTCGATATCGACGTATTTCACGAAGTTGACCAATTAGAGGCACAAATGGTTCACCATTAATTCCTTGCGCATGAAATATATCATAGATGGATCTTTGAGGACGAATGATTTTCAAATAGATAATAGCTATTATAACTAGGATAATAAGTACAAAGGTGTAGAATAGAATTTGGAATACCATGATAATCACAAAAGTAAAGTAATAAATCACAGTTTGTCTTTTATATTCTCTATAAAAAAAAGACATTAAAGATAGGTGATGTTTTTATAATATATGTACTTTTGTTTTTCGATATCAGTTGTCCAGATTTTATGTGAAGAAAGAAAAGAAAAAATCTATATACTTGTTTGAATATTTTACGTAGCATATTTTTGTGTTCTTTAATAGAAAGCGTGATCTTTCAGCAAAAAAGAGCTCCACGTCTGAAAATATTATTGAGTTAAAATATATGCTGATAAAATGATTTGTTTATTTGTCTTTTTTCTTCGAAAAACCTATTATATATTTGTATTCGAAATGTTCTTTAATCCACAGTCATATGCAAATCTTTTTTATTGTTCATAGTGTTTTTCTGACAGATTGTGCCATTAAAAATGTGACTAAAAACCCTTTGAAACGTTCGAATGAAAATATTTACAATAGCCTTTGTAATCTATAGTTCTGTCATCAGTATTTACATGAGAGTTCTCTTCGTATACTGGATATTGATTATCCAATCACCTTCTTCTATTCATACTAGAGTTCCTCGGATTGGTTTCAGATTCACTCGAATCCGGATCTGAAGCTGCCTGTTAGGCAGGTCCAAAAATTTTTAATGGAATTGACTGTAGCCGTCTAACAACGAGTAGGGTGCGCCAGTCATCGAATACAAAAAAAATGAAAGAGAGTATCTGTTATCTTCGGGGTGCGTATCCTATTTCGATTAGAAAATTTCACTGAGTGTATTAAAGCTTGGTTCGACTAGGTACAACAATTTTGCATCCAAGGGGCTCTACTTGAACTGATAGTGTAGAAAAGATGGCACATTTCAGAATAAGATTTGTTCGAATTATACTATAGATTAAAAATTTTACAATATCAATCAGTCTGTTCTTTCTTTGCTGCAACACTGGCTCATCTTTCTCGAATAGAAAGGAAAAGTTTTAGATCAACTAAATATAATACTGAATCATTGATATTGATTTTAATTGGGACACTAATCATTTCAATATCTACTCAGCTGAAAGTAGAACGAATAGTATCAAATATTTACTCTTTAGTTTTACCTAGCAGCAGTTTGAGATATGACATTTCGTATTTCATTTGAAGAATCAATTTACTAACCATTTATTATTTTTAGATGTGGTAACTGTTGTTCATTTGTTCCTTTGAGAATCCAATAATCTTTTAATTGGTTACAAGTCATGGAACAATTTTTCAATTGTGTATGTAAGCTAGATTTTTTTCTAAATATTTTATTGCAAATATTTTAACCAGCATTTATTGATAAAGATAATCTTCTAAGAATGTCAAAAAAAATTTCTGAATAATTAAAAAATCATAAATGTTTTATAACATGTGTAATGATATTCTTAATGAATTATAATAAGTCTGCATACGATACAAAATAGTAATCTAGACACATCAGCATATATTATTATTCACTGAACATTATTTATTAAGCATCCATAGAAAACATAAAGAAATTTCAATATTGATATTCGAATTCGAAGTGTTGTCTACATAAATATCCATCCACATCTAACGTTTAGTAATGTTGGCTAAAAGACCATATTTAGGGCGCATTGTAAGTTTAACCTCGGGTATTATTTTTTGGCCTGGTACCATTTCAAAATTACATCGTTGAACGAACAAGGCTAAGATAATTTTCGCTTCTAATAAAGCAAAATTTTGTCCAATACAGTTTCATGGACCAATCGCAAATGGTAAATAAGCAAATGGATAAGGTAGTTTTGGTTTCAAATCTGTTTTAGGATCACGCATCCAACGTGTATAGTCAAACTGATCAGATCGAGACCATAAATCATTTCGACAATGAAGAAGATAGCTATTGACAGTTATTGTCAAGGGGGAAACAACTGACTTTATGACTTAAATGATCTAAATGATCTAAGTGATCTAAATGACTTAAAGTCATAAAAGTCAGTTATTTCCCCCCTTAGTTTGCCTTCATTATCAACAGCTGAAAGAAGTAAATCAAGTAGATCAGGACCATTAGATAGACTACTTGAATGTCCTTGTCGTCGATCAGTAATTATTTTATTAACTCACTCAGTTATCATTCGAGTTCCATTATCAATAACCTTCTTTTTCCAAAACGGTAATTTTGGGAGAAGTGGTAATAAATTGATTATATACATTGAACGATATAGAATAGCATCAAATACGTCAGCAAATACTTGTCTCATAACATATTTAACATTAACATCTGTTTCAAAATCTGAACCAAATGCTGTCAATATAATTATTGAAAGTGTAACAGTATTGAAAAGAATCGGCAGATCAATTGATTGATCCCTTTGTTCATGAGAATTTGTTTTTTGTACATATTGATTGAATAGTTTTTCTTGTTTGATCGGTCATAATTGAAACCATTGAGTTAAAACTCGTATGATAAAAAGCAGGATTAATCATACGTCGTGCTCGTTCATGTTCATCACCTTCAGCTACTATTAAATTATGATTTCCAATAATGGGAGCTAAGATAGTTTGAGCAGCTGGTGATTTCGTATAATTTCGTACATTTTTTCAATCAAGTATGTCAGCAAGTAGATCAGGTTCATTAACCATGAGACGTACTACAGGACCAAAACAAAACGCATACATATTTCCATGTTTTTGAATTAATTTTTGATGATAACTCATAGGTGAATCGAATTTTCGATATCGACGAATTTGTAGAAGTTGTCCGATCAATGGTACAATTGGTTCATCGTTAACACCTTGTTCACGAAATATAACATATAAACGTTTTTGTGGACGAATAAGTTTGTAATAAATAATTATAAATATGAGAAAAAATAAATGTTATACATGTATATAGTAGAATTGGTAATACCATTATGATATTATAAAGCTAATGTCAGTATTTTGGTTTTACGAGTTACTGACAAGTATACAATATGACTCATTGTTGTTTTTTTATCATAGATGTTTGACGTTTTCTATCAGCTACATTGACATAAGATTAACTTTGTTATTATCATTAAGTTTTACTCGGAGAACTTTCATTTTATTAACGTAATAGCCATCCGCACTGTAACTTCTCATGTGCGCTACTATGAAGCGCACAGAGAAGTTTCGATAAAATGTCTCCATCGTTAAGTGACTACATTATCCGACACTCATCCATATACCCGTCTGATAACATGCTGACTACATTATGACATAGACCTGTTCTTATTGCTAGTATATAATGAGGGATCTCAAGTAATTGAGCACAAGAACTGTATTATGCCGAGCTTTTGTTCGAGCAGATTTCTTCTAATTAATTGGGAACCCACTCAGGCCTGAATCCAAAAAACTTGGACCTTGCCAGCTTTACTTCATAGCTACAGTTAGTATTAGTTGTGGAAAAGAGATCGGACTATTGAATGTGTCACTAGGGAGTACTTCATACCTCAAGGCAACTGAAAAACAAGGATCTTCTTCTTCTTCACTACGGCTACAATAAGCTTGAAAGCGTTCATTTCCATAGGCGCTATTGCAGCCAAGTTATCGCTGATTTACTGAATTTTCGAGTCATTTTTAGGCATGTACTAGAAACTCAAATAATAGAATTTCGATCTTGCGATTTCGCCTATAGATAAGGTTAATAAAACTTAGAATATCCTGAAAGTATTAATCACAAGAAATATTTCTTTGTTGAGATATTGAATTTTAAAGTCAACACAATTTTTACGACATATCCATGGCGTATGACTTTTCCTTGAGAATTCTATATATTGACAAAGACAAGGAAACATTGTTTTCAGTTGAAGCTTGTACGATGTTCTGAAGATCATTTGATCTATCTCTATAAACTGAATTTCAGTTCGAAAATTTTTTATTTAATATTTCAGTCAATATCTCAAAATATTTCGAAAACTCACTGAAAGAGTCATAAATTAGCTCTAGAAAGTTATAAACATGAGACTTTTTGAAATTTTTTTAGTCTTACTAAAATCTTCTTATAGTTCCTACATATAAGTTCAAATTTGGATAGTTATCTTGTAAGAGTTTAAAAAAATGATTTTTATTTAATTTTGTTTACAGTTTAGAAAGAAAAAGTCAAAAAACAAGAAAGCAAAAAAAAAAAAGAAATGAAATTATTTCTATATGATCACTACTTTTCTCTATTGTTTTTTTAGTCTTTTGGAATAAACAGTAAAATATTCCATTAATTATTGGTAATCGATTGAATTGATCGATGAATATCATTATATCGTTGTTGTTGATACTTGGAATAGAAATAATCTGTATTCATTCTGTTTGTTTCATAACAGAAAACAGTCTGAAATAAGAACACATAACTTTCTATATTTAAAAAAAATATATATCATACGAAAAATATCAGAGCAATAACCAAAATAACCGAAATTATATTCCAAACTAAAGCATAACGTGAATAACGTCGAGCTTTATCATGAAAATTTACATCAGCTTTAGCCGAACTTTTTAATGAATAAGCCAATGCAATAAGACCTTCGAATAAAAATTTAATTAAATAAAAACTTAAAAAACAATTATTCTTTTTACCTGTTGCTGGACATAAACAAATACTTGAAATAAGTGAAAATATAAAGTAATGATGAATTCGTTCTTGTTTTGGTTGTATACGAATTGCCTCACTAACTAAAACTGCTGAAGATGATGTGACTATATTCAAATACAAATTTTTAATTATAAATAATATGTTTTAATTTTATTTTTACTGTCATTGAAATTTTTCTTTTCATTAGAAATATCCATGTTAATATTTGTTCGTCTTTTTTTTACGTATGAGTGATTTATCTGTCTTGTGAGGAAAGAACACACTACGTATGTGAACTTGAACTGAATAATGCAATATGATTGGTGTCTCCAACGAGTAGAACCAATAGAATTGCTTCGTTTTGTTGCTATTTACACTTTATATCAATTGCCTTTAGAGCAATCAAGCAGAAAAAAAAAGTGTAATTTGTCTAATGGAGAAAGAAAATGACTGGAAAAAAAGTAATATGCACAGAGTTGATTCTACGGACATCTGTTTAAAGCGAAGAGTCGATTAATTATATGTGATTGGTTAACATAAGAGACCTTCAACTTTGTATAATATTTGCACGAGTAAATAATATTTCTGATCGTTCAAAGAGAAAATGCTTTGGAAAATAAATAAATGATAATTATGATTGATTTTATGTAAATACTCTATTAAAATAATCCAGATTTGTAATGAATATCGAATAAATAAATAATATTTTTCTTTGTTATTAATTACAATATGGAACAATAGATTTCCTTACGAACCAATATTATTCTCTGAGAAACAGATTATATATACTTCCATAAAAGGAAAATCTTATTTTCTATACTAATTTCAGAATGTCTCTTGTTCTTCAAAATATCATTCGTCGATGTCCATCGACAATAATTACCAAAGGTTTTTTTCGTTTTTGGTCATCAAATGGTCAATTTCCTTCGCATCCAATGGGTACAGAAGAATATGAAAATCAACCTCGTAAATCTCTTACTGAATTACCTGATGAATTAACTGAACATGAAGATAAACCTAAATTTATTTCTGAATATGAAACAACAAAAGATGGTTGGGAATGGGTAGATAATGTTCTTTTTAAATCTAAAATACCTGAACCACCTAATCATTCAACTCCATCAGGTTGGGTTCCACCTAATCCAACACTAGCTCGTCAATGGTCATATTTTGTTGATCGAGATCGTTTTCATTCATATGCACTTTATGTACGTATATTACCTGTTATGCTTGAATATTGGCTACATGAACAACATCGTTATTATTTAAATATATTTCGTCGTCGTGTTGAATATGATATATATGCACAACGAACAAGACGTTTTAGTTTACTTGAATTAATATCAGGTGATATATGGGCATTAGATCATGATTTAAAAAATTATTTAACTAAACGTGTAGAATTAACAAATGATAAATCAAAAGAATTACCTATTTTATCACAAGTTGATGAAATTAAACGACATATACTTGTTGATGGAGAATATGAAGAATGGATAGCAGATTTTTTAAAAGAAAAAGGATTTTGATCGATAAATAAAATTGCATAGACAAAAACAAAAAATGTTAGAATTCTGTTGTGTTTTCTAGATTAATGATGTATTTATCATATCATAATACATTAAAATTTTTATGTGCAATACAACCAAAAGTTAGCAAATTTGTTGTTCGAACCTTAGCTACTCCTTTTCGATCGAAACCAATTGAAAAAGCAAACGATGCTCATTCTAATTTATTAACAAATAGTGAACATGTTTTTGAAGTTCAACATCATACTGTTAAACCAAGTGCAATGGTAAATAAATTTCTTTTCAATTTAATTAGAATCAAATCAAACTTAAATGAAAATTAAAAGTTCCAGATAATCATCAAGTTTTTTTTTTTTGCATTATTGATTATTATATGAGATTAATATGCTTAAAAAATGTACATAGTATATATCCATGAAAACCTTTGAACTCATTTTAATTATTTTTCGAATTTTGTACTTATACAAAAGTAGACGAGAAAAATGATTGGGATTGTATAAATAACGAAAATATTAACTTCAACTTTTATAGTGCCGTTAGAAGGGCAGGTATATTTTTTTATAACTTAACATTCAAAGGCCTCAAATAAAAGCGAAAAAGAAAAAAAAAACATTCTATTTTTACACGTTTAATTGCAACCACAACAGAAAGTATGTCTAAAAGTGTCATATAAACAGTATGAAACCTCTTCAAAAAAGAAACTCAACAAAAATAATAATACATTGAGTTGTTTTTCTATTACTTATTTAACACTTTTCTATAAAAGTTTATTAGTTACATTGATCTGAATTTCTAGAACATGTAAATTTATTGCCTATATTAACGAATTTTCTAATCGTTAGAAATGAAAAAAAAAAAAAATATGCACTTTCAGTGCAGCCATCCTAAGGGCAAGATTTAAAGCACATGATTCTTTCAACAAGCAGCATACACATATACAACAAAATGTAATTCGTTTAGAATGACTATGAATTAGTTTTTAATGATTATACATCACAATTAATGGAGAAATATTCTTCAACTGGTCTTGTTCATACTGGATCATGGAAAGTACATATTGGTAATGTACAAAATCAATATGTACATATATGGATGTATAAAAATTTTGCTCATTTGGATGAATTTATTGATAATTCAAAACTAAAATTAAATTCAAATAAATTAAGTGAACATGTTATTAAACATTCAAATCAAATTTGTCTTCCATTTTCTTATTTTGGTTCGAAAAAAAGAAACAAAAATATTTGTTTTTTTTTTCCTTCAAGTTCTCTTTTGTTTCTTTAAATATAGGAATTCCTCAACCACGATCAAAATCTGATGATCAATCACATCCAAATATTTATGAAATGCGTTCATATTGGCTTGTGCCAGGTACATTAATTGAATGGGGAAATTTATGGCATAAAGGTGTACAATATCGACCTGATGCAAAAGTTCTAGGTGTTTTTTCGCAAATTGGTGATCTTTACAATGTTCATCATATGTGGTCATATCAAAATTTTCAACATCGAAAACAAATGCGTACAAATGCATGGGCTAAACCGGGTTGGTCAGAAAAGTATGTTTCAACACATCTAATTTCTTTCTTTTCTGAAAAATAACCTAAAAGGAATGTTGAAGTATGGAAGTAGGACTTTGGACTTATTCACAGTCGTGACAAATATCTTAGTAATACTTCACCCAGAGATGGAACCAGTCAGACCGGACTGAAACAGTCAGTACACTGTTTCGACCGATCGGTCTCCAGTGCCGGTTCTATCCCTTCTCCCAAGTCACAAATTGCGACAGATGTCTTAGTAA